ACCCAGACAGAAGCTCGTAACCACCAATAAGAATTTTACGTATAGTGTGAAAAACCAGACAGAAGCTCGTAACCACCAATAAGAATTTTACGTATAGTGTGAAAAACCAGACAGAAGCTCGTAACCACCAATAAGAATTTCACGTATAGTGTGAAAAACTAGACAGAAGCTCGTAACCACCAATAAGAATTTTACGTTTTGCTCTTGGTGCATTATTTGCGAAAGTTAATTAATCTTTACCAAACCCGTGTTTATTTATCGCATATATTAACATAGATTAAAATATTAATCTTTACCAAATCCGTGTTTATTTATGACATATATTTACATATATTAAAATATTAATCTTTACCAAACCCGTGTTTATTTATCACATATATTAACATAGATTAAAATATTAATCTTTATCAAACCCGTGTTTATTTATCACATGTATTAACATATATTAAAATATTAATCTTTATCAAACCCGTGTTTATTTATGACATATATTAACATATATTAAAATATTAATCTTTACCAAACCTGTATTTATTTATCACATATATTAACATATATTAAAATATTAATCTTTACCAGACCCGTATTTATTTATCACATAAATTAAAATATTAATCTTTACCAAACCCGTATTTATTTATCACATATATTAACATAAATTAAAATATTAATCTTTACCAAACCTGTGTTTATTTATCACATGTATTAACATAGATTAAATTACTTGTAAAATGAAATCGTTTGAATACCGATCTTGTTCCAATTACTTACCTTATCCAGTTGTTCAAAAATCTTATCAACTTTCTCCTTCGGAGTTTCCTCTTCTCCCTCCGCTTTGTCCTTGTTCCCCTAGAAATGGCAAATCTAACACTTCATAATCATATTAAAATATCCTCTGCACAGCTAGCTGCAACTATTAAATATTATTACATCACCAAATGGTTAATATTCTCTTGTGTTAATTGTTACCATGTCGGCTAACTACTGTCTGTTTTTTAATTGCATATTTGAGTCGCGACTTCAATATATTTGAATTATCTATGTTCTTATAAATAAGTTTTGTAAGTTATATTAAAACAAGTTTGGAGCTTCACTACGTCGTTACAGTCCACGTCATCTCGTCCGGACATGATCTATCTAATGACCGTACACATTTTCACAATAATCCTGCAGAGTGACTTCCATTGCAAAAGGCTCCGTCGTAATATTGTCATTTCCGAAGCATTCCATTCCTTCCTGCTTGCTTTCCATAATCGATTTACTGAACGAGGACGATGGTTTATTAGCGACCGTTTCAACAGTTTGGTCGCACTGGTATGCCTTCGTACGGAATAACACGAATACCCGTTTCATTCTCCAGCTGCTTGAGCTATGCGACGGTTGAATGGATATATCGTGGAAGAAAGTTGTGACGTGACTTTTCTATTTTCTCTAGACGGATGTCTTTCATGTTTTGAGTATGTAGCCTGGAACACGTGTGCGGCTTTTGCTACATATTTTTATTTTCGTGAGTTCTCACCCGTTACAAACCGCCACACTTTGCTTACTACGGCTAGGGTGTGACTTGTTGCAAGTCTCTTTCTAGATAGTCCTAGTACCCCAAGTTGATCCCTATTCTTTGTTTTCTAATGTTATTAAGTACAAGGGATATACCCGTCTGGGAAATCCTCAATTCCCAATATGAACAAAATCCACATTTTTTATGATCCGAATGCGGGACTGTTCTACGTCTGAACAGCTGTTAAATGCTCTTCCCAAAAACAATCAATTTTCGTTGGAATCACATTATTAAACAATGTCAAAAAGTAGTTCTTATACATGCCGTTCCACCACAACTTTATATCGGATGTGGTTGTCATGTGACTTGCTTGTATGCTTATTCAAAATCGTATTTTGCTAACATTTGGTACTGACTTGACGTCATTATGTATGTATGTGTTGAAAATAAGAGATAGAAAAGTCTATCGTTCTTTGACACAGAATAGATTCCAGATATGACCAATGTAACACATGTACTGTTTTTAGCTAAATATCAACTGACAATCAGCCGAGAAGATGGAGTTTTAAAACTTTCGCACTAACGACCTGTTAAATTTGAAAACATGAATTAAACAAATCAGGAAAATGTTTTTCATTATTGTTGATGATTTTAATTATGACCGCGATTGTTTTTTGTTTTTTTATTCAATTCAAATACAGTTAAAATTAATTTGGGGTTTGTCCGTGCAAAGGCAACATTCACGAACCCGCTATAATAATTACATTATAATCGTGAAGCAATAACCTACGATCGTTGTATTACGTGAGGTAAAGAAGACAATTGATTATATTAAATATTTAATATCTTTATTCAATATTTAATATCTTTATCAATATTTAATATCTTTATTCAATATTTAATATCTTTATCAATATTTAATATCTTTATTCAATATTTAATATCTTTATCAATATTTAATATCTT